GGAGTGAGGGTTCACCCCGCACAACATGATCTACTCAACCACCATTATGGTTACCGCCATAAAAAGAACCGGAGGTAAAAAAATCAAATAACGATAACCTGGTTGCCGAGTTCACAAAGTGAATTGGCTTGTTTTACAACGTCGTTGCCAAGCGACGAAAACCCAATCCCGATGGCAAACACCGGGGGGGGCGGCTTGTTTTACAACGTCGTTGCCAAGCGACGAAAACCCGACATTGATTGCAAACACCGTGCGGGGGCGGTTCTTTGGGAAGGGGGGGGGGGAAATGTTGTCTCTCAACGCGGGGGTTGAGATGTTGCCGCAGGCGGGACGCTTTTTGTCGTAACATGTACATAGTCCTGTCCGTACGTAGCACACATGTACGCACGTACTTCTCGTAATTTATTCCTGTAGCTGACAAGAGTGCCTCTCGCTGTTCGTTTTCTCCGGCGATTCGCCCGACCGTTCCACAGGAAAACTCTGGACTACGAAGCAGTACTTGAGGGGTTGGAGAAGAAGGGCATATCAATTAGAGTGGCCAGCCCCAAGCTAGTCATGGAGGAAGCGCCCGAGAGCTACAAAGACGTGACAGAAGTGGTGAACACGTGCCACGACGCCGGGTTGTCCATGAGGGCTGTCAAGCTCAGGCCTATTGCGGTCATCAAAGGCTGAACGAATGGGTTGATTTGGTTGGTTGGTTGGTTTTGCGTTCAGCGGGTATTTGGGGTGGCGGGGATATGATGCACATTTGGTGATTAAGGGTGTTGTTCTTGTGTTATACATTTGTTTGGTTTAGAGGTTGACGGTGCAGTGTGCTGAGGATCGGTCGGTGCGGCCGTGGGGATATCAAGCGGGGGGGCGCAGAAGGNGGTCCTTTTTTGGGGGGGGGGGGTTGTTGTTTGCGTCTTGTCTTGTTCTGTTTTTCGGGGTGGTGGACGTTCAGAAGAATATGTAGATATCTATTGTGAAGGGGGGCGAGGAGTGAGGCATCGTGAAGAAGGTGGACCTTGTGCTCCTATGTGTGCGAAAGGCGTCGTCGATGTGCGATCCAGGATCGTTCGAATGAGCGTGTTGACCGATGTATGTTGAGTTTGGCCGGTACTTGATTTCGCCAGCAAGACTAACGGAGTACTCTGTAGCACATTGAAGAGAAAAGCTTGCGCCCCCGGGGCCCATGCAAGGAGAAGGAAGAGCCATGAACACGTCATCAACGAATTGATACCGCATCGCTTCAGTCTACCACTAGACTACACCACGTGTCAAGTGTCAAGTATCAAGTGTGAATAATACTAGCAGGTTCTGAAGATCATGCTGCTGTGTGAGACCAAAACGCAATAGAAAGAAGACCGAAACAAAGATACAGCGGTAGCTGCCCACGGAAGCAGCTCCAACAATACTTCGAAATTGGGTCGTTCCGGCTCTAGGTTAGGGGGGAACGACCCAACTACGAAGGATTCTTGGTGCTGGGGGGGCGAACTACAGCAACAGAGTGACCACGTTCTCAAACGTCTTCGCAAGCTTGCATTTTTTTCCTCACGTGAAACAAACCAACACGTGGGTATTTAGTGTTCATGAGAGAAGTAATTAAACATCAAAGCAATAGGCTTTCTCCATCAACCACGACACTCAATCATGCTGCCACCCGAGTCTTCGACTACCACGCACCTTACGCAACAAGATCAAGATCCCACCCGCGCGCTGTTTTTTTGTTGCGTCCACAATCAACCCCGGCGGTCCCGTACCCCATCCGCAAAGAAAGTGGAACTCCTCTCTTGAAAAAAATTGGTTCCCAAGCTGCGGAGCTCCGTACTCCGTGCAGCAACGTGCAGTTCAGTGAGTGTTGTGTGGGCGTCTCAGTGTTCCGTCACACCACACCGATCTGCTGGTCTTAGCTGAGGAAGGACGATACAGAGGCAGAGAGTACCAAGACGTGTGCAGAGGTGAGCGCGAGTTCCTGGAATGCAGTTAGACCTACTAGTCTACTGCTGTAGCAGCAATGTGAACGCTTTATTTAGCCAGCACCAGTTCAACTTCCCTCAGTGTCCATGGTACAGACTGTAGTAGTAAATGTTGCTCGGGACATCCATCAAAATATGCAACATGCAACGCACCTTGCTGGGCAGATCTACAGTACTGCCTATATTTTCTCGACACACGGTACATTGAGGCTGGCGTACACGACGATGCTACAATTCTGGAGCACAATAGCAGCAATTCCACCGCATTCGTTCTCTCTCACGCACCTTGACAGCAACCGTATGGTATACAACCTGATCTGACCAACTAATTTACGTTTGCTAACGTTTCAAGGAACAAGAAGTGAGCCGCTTATGGCATATCCCATGAATCACCCCACCAAAGAGGATGTGCATGTGTTTACTATTTACATCTGATTGGCCACGTTCTCTCAGACGGGGGGTACCGCTTGCCCTTCGAATACCATAGGTTTTACAAGTAGCCTGTGTGGAAAAATAGATGTACAGCAGTAGTATCGGTTGGTTTGTCGTCCCGTCTATTCTGGGCGCCAGTCTATACCTTCCGATATATGTTTGACGCACCAGACGGGGGGGCCTGTAGGGCAAGGCTTTGGTAAGGATTTCGGTTGCATCGCGTCCTGGTGTAGCGCTTGCTTCATCGTGGCATGGTTACACTCGGGAATAAACGAGACGCTTGGGCGCATGAACTACGAACCTATTCGCTCCGAGCATTGCAGCTCCACTCGACTGTTGTCTGTCTGAAAGGGGGCGGACAGTACAGAGAGGAAGAAGGACAGGTGCCGACAATCGCCCCAAGTACTGCTGTATACGTGCACCACACAAGAACGACACCGCGGCAAATAGAGCAGCCCTTGACACATGCGCGCCATCATCGCAGTACAAGTGCCGAACCGGTCCTGATTCCACCGAGAACTGCTTCGGTCCGGCCGTTGCACGAACCACTGCTGTTGTGTACCATGCCACCGTGTACGCTAGATGCTGGCGGACGATTGGACAAGCCTACGCGATGTCCAATACCGCAAGATTCACCTCTACGACCTGGACTGGGCAGAGGACGAGGAAAGGCACCTAGACCGCTGCCTGGTGGCCGTTGCCAAGTATGGAGGGGCGGTGGCCATGGTGCGCGATGAAACCAAGCTCCTTAAGGTGAGGGCGAGTAGGTAGCAGCAGCGGCAACAGACAGAAAAACTGTACATATGCCCGAGGCTAGACGCCGTCTTCGATGAGCCGCTGCTGGCTGAGCTGCTTGTCTTCCCAAAGCAGGTGTTTCGTGCGGGGTTTCCTCGACGGAAGCGTGTGTGTGTCTCTCTCTACGTTGTGTTGCATTCGCTTAGCCCTAAGGGGTGCACGTACGCATGTGTTCGAAATTTTATGCTTGGTTGTGAAATAAACGACACACGGCGGTGTCTTGCAACAGCTTGGTATGCTGGGGAGCGGAAAGCTAACCTCGGGGGATCGCTAGCATTTGGGGTACACAAAAACTCTTCCAACTCTTTTCGGTTCCTCTCGGGTGCATCATATCTACCAGCACCGCTGCAGCGAACAGCTGTTTCATCAAAACCACAGCAAACACAGGGAATAGGCGTGAAGAAATAGCAGTCGCCTGCCTTGGTTGCAGCACGGGCCACCACTTAACCACGTACCCCCCCCCCCCCCCCCC